TGTTATGATAATTTATATCAAAATAACCTATTTGAAAAAAATTTGGAAATAGCAAAATATTTTATCGTACTTTTATATTTAATAATTTTAAATATATTAGGCAAATAAGTTTTTATACGCTCTCCAAATGAACTTTTTGAACAAAAATCTTAGCATAGATGATATATTCTAAATTTCTAATTAATGAAAGATTGAAGATAAAAAAAACTCAACAATAAAGTTAAAGACATAATTACTATAATGACAAACTGTGAGGATCTTGAGTGCAATTAAAATATGATGCAACAAGGAAAAATTATAGTCTAATAATAGTGTAAATTTCATATGTGTTCTCTGAGCTTTAACAAAGATTTTCGATTGAGCCTCTAAATTTTAATGTCTCAATTGGTTCGCTAAACTTTAATTCAATTTCAACTTTCACCACAATGTCGTATTTCGTCACCTTCGTCCCCAAAATGAATAAAATTGCTTAGTTGTTACTTGTTAACCCATATGATCTTTTACGAAATTACTACGCAGCACCTAGAAACAAAACTAACAATTGAAGGTTAAGAACAATGTGCTTAGATTAAAAGGGTAAAATGCATAATATAAACGCTTCTTCATGTGGTATAGTAATAATGGCACGTCGGGATTACATGGATGATACGTGACGATTCAATTAATTAATTTTCATTGATTTGAAAGGCGTCAGGCGACAGAGTGGTCAAATTTAAAATTTAATTGAAGTTCAACAATCCAATTAAAACTAAATTAAAGTTCAATGACCCCATAAAATCAATTAAAATTTAATGATCCAATTGAAATCTTGCAAAAAGTTCAAATACAACAAATAAATTTACACATATTTATTATGACCAGATTATCTCGTTTACAATTTGATCTCATAATCTTTAAAAGAGCAATTTAATATCATTATTTACACTATTAGTCTTAATAGAAGAGGAGCTAAAAATGTCTTACAAGAACCATTTGTACAACGAAACTGAAACGATAGAGACCAATTTAGAGGATAAAATTACTACAAGCATTAAAGGTTAGGGGACAAGTATCGTAATTTTCTCAAAGTAGAAGTAAAAACACTATATGTGTGTTTGATCTACATTATTTTCAAAAGAACATATTTTGAAATAGTAGATTGATCGATAATACATTGTTAAGAAATAAGGAAAGGTTTTGAATTTGCGTGTAATATTATTTTATTGAAGGATGTGTGATTGAGATAATATCAAAACAATGTTTAAGAACGTATTTTTTTTTTCCATCAGGCCTATGATAACTTTGTAAACGTGTGAACAACAAAGCAGAAAGTACAACATTTTAAACGAATTGAAAGACATTACGCATTTAGAAGTTGGGCCACCCGGTCCGATCCGGATCGGGACTTCATTAGCTGTAAAGGTCAGTAGCATTACATGGACAAAATAGGAAAATGCTACTGTCACCAGCTTCTATTTACAGGAATTTGCATTTTGCACGTTATAATTAGTTTTCTTGTTTGCATAGAAAACAATGCACCTCTCTTCGGTGTTCCATGTGAGTGTATTGTATTCTACTTGCTTAAAAATTCGCCTGTCATGTTGTTTTGTAGTTTTGGATTTATAAGTATGCTGAATAGTTCATTCTTACAAGTCGGCTTTATATGTAAATTCTATCCAGTAGTGGTTGTTAATTGGTATTAGAGCAAGCACCATTTTTAAGGGATCCGTTGAAAATTTACTTAATCATGCACAATAAAAAATAAAATAAATTTCAAGGGAAAAAAAATCAAAACCTAGGCATATAGTTTACACCACTTTAAAAGTCAGGTGCATAGTTTAAAAATTTAAATTTAAGGTATATATATAATTAATTAAAAATATTTAATAGATAAATATAATAAAATCGTAGTTATACAATTAATGATCATAGATTCATAATTATATATCACAATTTATTTATTGGTCATATATTATCAAATTAATTAGTCATAGATTATTTCGTGGTGACAAATAAATTTTTTTATAGGTCACAGTTTATTTATTAGTCACAGATTTTCAAATTTATTATATTTCAGTCACAAGTTATCAAATTTTAAAATCACGGTTTAATATTTGGTCACAGATAATTAAATAATTGGTTACGCAAACTAGATGGTGTGTCACGCACCGCACCAACACTGCCACTACCACCACCGTCACGTGTGACGACCCTCACCCTGCGTCCGTCGCCAAGCACCACAACACCACCACCATCGTCGCTGCCATCACCAACTGCTACAACTACCTTCGACTGTTGCCACCATTGTTAATACATCCACTTACACCGTGACACAAAATCGTCGCCAGATCCATGTCGTCGTCGTCGTCGCCATCACCACCAGCAGCTCCACCATCACATACATCGCCGCTACATCCTACTCCAACAAACCACCCACCATCTCTACCTCTAATCAACAACCGTACCAACGCGGCCTGCTAAAATCACCATCTCTCCCAACGTACCACACCATAGTTGCGCACAAAGCAGAAAAATCCCTAACACGGAGGTGAGCCATCACCGCTTGCAACGTTGATGCACAAAAAGGAACACGAAGCGACAACGTCCAATACGAAGGAGAATGTTGCTGTGCCTTGAAGATTGGTTAGAGTGGGAAATTTGGGGATTGTGAGATTAGTATGAAAAATGGATCATCTCAATGTGATTCAGTGAAATTTGGGTAGGGACGGCCTTTCGACTCTTCGGCCTCGCTCGAGGCTCGAGCTAAGCTCCATTTTGGGAGGATGGGCCGGGCCCGAGCCGGCCCACGAGCCTTTAAAAAAAAAAAAAAAAAAAGGCCCCTCTTGACTGCCTCTTAAGGCAGTTGTAGTTGACCTTCTTAAAAGGCATTTTTTTTTTAAAGCAAGCCTAGCCGGCTCAACTCGGAAAGGTCTGAGAGCCGAAAGTTCGGGTTGAGCCTAATTTTTTTTACGGAGCTTTTGGCTTGGGTCGAGCCAGGTCTTGAAAAAAGCTTGAACATTTTACTCAAATTAAGCCCAAGGCTTGAGTTTCGGCTTGTGAGTCGGCTCGACTTGGTTCGGCTTGTTGACATCCCTAAATTTGGGGATTTATGGAGCGTCGGTTGTGGAAGAAGCAGTTGATCGTGAATCTCTCTCCAAAACACATAAATGGCTGTACTGATTGTTGAATTGATAGAAATGTTTCTCTCTCCAATTTAGGCAACAATTATATTTAGGAAAAATATTTATTTAATATATAATAATTAATTAAATATCACCCGAGTTCTGAATTAATAAACTTAACTTCTAATTTTTGAATTGAAATCTCTAAAAATCTGTCAGCCTGTAATTTCCACGAATTTCAATTCCCACCAATGATTCGTTTTGTGTTTAGATAAAAATTATACATTTGTTAAATTTTGTAATCTCCTTTACTTTTCTTGAACCTGCACAATCATGATCTGCAACTCACAATTGTTCAAATATCTAACCTTTAATAAAAATCCACGCAAGAAACAAGAATATAATTATTTTCTCTTAATATTTTCCAAGCTCTAGCAACCTATTAATATAAGTCCAAGTGAGTTGGCCCATCTCTTAAACGTAACTCGATCCAATATTTAATTAATCCAATTAATTAAAATTGATCCATGAATTAATTAATTTGGACATATTTACAAGCAACCGGATTAATTAATTGAAATTCTTGTCAATTAATTAATTAATTAGTAAATCTCATTCTTCTAGTTTTCCTTTTTTTTTTTTTTGTGACCCACTAGGTTTTCGATCATGATGACGTAAATTATTATTTTGCTCTAATCAAAATCGATAAATTAAAATATCCAATTTTAATCTATTACTAATTCACATCCGTCATTCCAAATTAATATCTAGCAACGTGTCAAAACAATATATGTGGCGGAAAATGGCACGTGATATGACAACCAAACTGTTCATTTACCGTGACACTATAATCTCTTCGTCAATATGATCCAATTAATTGCGAGATATGAAAGTGTATCATTTCGATTATCGATTATATCTTTCATCCCACTATTAAGTCAGTGCAAGTCGGGTACTCTTTTTGACTTATGAGTATATCTTGATCAAGAATTTTATTATTGACTTAATTGAATGAAATGTCGATCATAATCCCTTACCATCTAAAAATGATGAATCATATATTGATCATTTACAACCTTTATATAATTTTTTATGTACCCAAATGATGTTGTATTAGTGATTCTTAGCAGCAGCAACATCCATCATCACCAAAATACGATCGTCCCCATATGAAGCACTATGAAGATCTCAAGTTGAAGGACCAATTCCATTACTAAGGATTAGAGATTAACCGTTGACACTTAGATAGTTGTATCTATGTAAAATCTCCTCAACGCGTCTCCAATGTTTTGTTTAATAACAAAATATTCACATGTTCATTTAAGTATCACTACATTTTAACTTGTGAGATCCACAACTTAATTTACAAGTAAGAAATGCCACACATGATGTCACATCTGTAATAACGATATCGGATGGTTTAAGATTTAGTCATATTGTAATTTGTATCTCACAATCACAACTTCTTGTTATCAATAAATTACCAAGACTTGAATATACGAATTTTATTATTTAATTTATTAGAATATTAATTAAATTAAATAATAGATTTGCCATAAATGAAATGCATAAATTATATATTAAAAATGTTTATGTCCAAAATTGATTGGACCTAGGGTATATTACTTACAAGATCTTCATTGCAAACGAGGAGACCTAGAGAGGTAGAAAACTCATTTTGTGAAGTCACCCACCTGAAAAATGTCCTATCATGTACATAGGTTGTGAGGAGGGAAGAAATATAATCCCACTAGACAACAATATTGAACAAAGATTATAGCTTTTTCTCTTCCTTTATGCTATCCCCGCTGCTATCTAACATTTTATACCAAGCAAACTAGGTGTGATATACGCACATCTACATGGCTTCTATAAAGGTTTATGCTCAATTTTCCGGGATGGAAGGAGACAAGAATCACCAGAGCTATTGATCTTCAGCATCACAAAATAATACACGTAATGTGAGTCGTACTTTGAAGCAAAAAGAGCGCAGATTCTCTTTCATTACAAAAGAAAGAAATTACAGTAGAAGTACAATCAGAACAGTTACACAAAGATAAATGAAGTGAAACGAATTTGATGGCATTATCAGGTTGCATAAGAGAAGTGCGAACTTGTACAGCACGTAAAGGGTAAGGACAGTTTGATCTTGGATTTATGCTAAACTCACTCCAAATTTTGTAACATTTTCTTGTGGAACTGGATGGAATCATCCTCCAAATGTCAAGATTTCAGATGATGATCGAGAGTATAGGCATTAATCTCAGAAGGGCTTGTACCGGGCCTGTTGAAAACCACCAGGAAATATGAACAGTAATATGTCAATTTTTCTAGCTTATTTAGCTTCTTTAGTACTGTCTAGTATACCTAACATGCCATGAAGAATATGATTTACATTCTTTACAGGTCAGTATAAGAAATTATACAACTTCTGAACAAAATACTAGAGAAACGTCAATTGATCTCAATAACAGTGCAGGTAAAGTTTAATGATTGTTATCCATGACATGACAGATCTAGCAAAAATAAACAAGATAACGCAGGACAATATTTTCAATTGCAGGACTAAAGCTGTAGCTTTATATACCAATTTAATAATACTTGTAAAGCAAGAACTGTCCTACACTCCTGAACTAACTATATTAGCTTCCATCTCTCATCTAACCAAAACTAAAGTGCAAAAAGGTAAATTGCATATTCTTGGTGATCGTGAGATGACATGAAAACAATTACATGCTTCCAACCTGGTGAGTAACAAGTTTCTTTAAAGTAGCTGAGCAGAACTTGCACTATCTGTATAGAAAATGACAGACAATGTAGTTGTTCTCGATCAACCTTATTTACATTTCCATTTCATTTTTGCAATAAAAAGGGCAATAGAATGCAACTTAAAAGTATTTATCTCAAAGTCGAGATAAAATCAGGAAATGTAATAGTTAGTGCCAAAGGGGGTCGTTTAAGGGAAAATACATTTTTATTCCCATATAACTATTATAATATTTTCAGAAACCATGTACTCATTGACCTTTGTTTCTTATTGTTGAAGTGGCACTATAAAATGTCTCCTCGTTACTAGTTAGAAAAGTAGTTCGCATACCAAAGCTATCTAAAGCGCTGCACCCCAGGCTCCGAACCCTATCCAATTTAAACTTGCCACTTTGTCACTCTTTACCGCGACTTTATTTCTCCCCTTATCTTATCTACCCTCCCACCACCTCTTGGGACCACCACTAATAAGGCTGGACACCCGAAATTTTCAGGTATATAGTAAGTGGAATCGTCGGGTCTAAATTTAATTATTAAACCGTTTAGATTGGGTTACATTCAGTTCGGTTTAGTTCCATTCGATTATCCGATTCTGTACTATAATTAAATTTTTTAATATTTACAAGGTTATATTAATTCAACTAATGACATGTTCAATTGTAGCTCTTATAAAATAACGTAATTCAATCTTATGTATCTTTTATGTTACTCTATACTGAGTTCTTCATAGATTTGAAAAATGCACTATGATAGAATAATAAATTTGGGTAAAACTTAGGTCAATTTGATTGAATTGGGCTTGGACTGAAAATTAGAAATTAAGAAAAATCATATTTTTGGATTTGAGCTATATTAACTAGTTAGCAAATTTATTTTGAAAAAATAAAATAATTTGGCTTATTTAAAATAAATAAATTAAAAAAATAATAGAGATTCGATTCCTATTTGACTCTTGATCTAGAACCTAGAACCGAACTAAATCTGTCGATTCTTGATTTAAATAATCGTTCGGGTATTTAACTTAAGAAGAACCGCTTTGTTCAATTTAGTTCAATTCGATTCTGGTTCGGCCAGTTCGAGAGTTTTGCCCAACCCTAACTACTATCACAATTGTTGTGGAATCCCCCATCACCACCACCACCACAATCGGCAGTGGAGAACCTTTCTAGGAGCCCATCACCATCACTTTAGTTCTCAGGCAGTCTGACTATGATGTGCTTCAAAGATGATGGTGCTGATTTCCAGTTAAAGACGCACTTAGTTTCAATTTTTGAAGTGCTGTACATCTCAGAAGTGGCTGTGGTTTACCCTAAATTTTCTTCGAATGTTCAGGTGGATATCACCACCACCACCACAATCGGCAGTGGAGAACCTTTCTAGGAGCCCATCACCATCACTTTAGTTCTCAGGCAGTCTGACTATGATGTGCTTCAAAGATGATGGTGCTGATTTCCAGTTAAAGAAGCACTTAGTTTCAACTTCTGAAGTGCTGTACATCTCAGAAGTGGCTGTGGTTTACCCTAAATTTTCTTCTAATGTTCAGGTGGATATGGGTATTTAGATCAGTAATAGGGACATAAGATCAGTTAGGCGAGGCACTCATCAGCTAGCTTGTGCAGAATTTTTGGTACTTACTTTTTCTGGTGGCTTTGTTTCTTTCCATTGCAAGTGGTTTTTAAAAAAATTCAACTCCCATTTTCCCACTTTTGATGAGATTTTTAGGTTCCTTTCATATGTTTGATGAACTTTCAAGTGGAAAAGCAAATGCCCAAGGGTGAGGGAGCACTACAACTGTCTAAATACGATGCTTTGCCACAAATTAAATCAATGAAAATTCCAAAGAAACCATCCTGTAACAAATTCTTGTGAAGTACAATCGTAGAGCAACAAGAAAAGGTCAACTAAATAGTTTACATAATTGAGTACTATTGTGTATGTGGCTATTTTACCAGATCAAATTGGCCGATGCTGGAGCGAAGCAGAGTGGAATGAGGGGAGGGGAGCGCACCGACGGCTTCGGCCTTGTGGGTTTTAATTTATTGTTTATTTGTCAGGATGCTGAATAGATTGGGGGTGAGGGGGCAACGTCCTAGCTCATTGTGGACACAGGCACATCGTCAAACCACGTTAAATACATGTGTTGATTTCCCCCTTTCACTTCTTTATTATTACGTATAAAATCCAACCATTGGTATCACAACCCAGATTATCAACGAGTCTCTGCCCAACAATCTACAGGAGATACCGGTTTGGTCCCACCCAAGACCAAGGGAGAGATTGTTGAGGTTATCTCGCATCGGTTGTCGAAAGGGTTGGTAGTTAGTTTATAAGTGTGAAGAAAAGCCACACCTCTTAAGCTAGCTTTACGGATTTGAGAAGAACTAAGACCACCCAACATGCACATAACCTGGTAGTGTCAAATGTATAGTTTAACTGGCAGTAGCTTCAAATTTCAAATGTTTTTAATGAATTGAATGATCGAACATTCTTCCACAAGTACTTCATCACATTGAAAGACTTCATTACGGCATGCGTTGTTTAATCATCTCCTTCTAAAAAATTGCTATCAAAACCTTCTCTCAAACAGTCGAAATGAAAATAAGTTTCCCAGAAGTGTGCCTAAGAGATCTGAATGCTCAACTCTCTCTTAAAGGAAACTCACCGAAGTTCATTCATAAATTCACCGAGGTACAGCAGTTTATTGAAATTACCTTTTATTGATGATGCCATAGTGAAACATGAGTCTTCCAACTTTTGTATCTTCAATGTACTATAAAAACAAAGAAGACATCATGACAGAAGTGAGCAAAAGTTCATTAAATGAACTGATATAATTGTCTTTTGGCATTTGAAATAGAACCCTACCAGTTGTAAGGTGACCAGCATCGACGAAAATGCCAAAGAATCAAAAGGAATATCATTAAGAGCAAAAAGCTGGCATTCCGAAGATTCTGGGCCAGGCGAAAAGTGGGGTCTCTTCAACTTGGCCAAGAAAATAATATATGTCTGTTCCACATGAGACACTGAGTACATGAAGATGCCAAGAGCAGGAAAATTCATGTAAAATTACTCTTAGGATATATCTCATACTTGCCCTATGAGAGGGATGTCCAAATGGGCAAATGGTGATAAAATTTCTACTTCAGCATTTGCCTCCTCCCAGGTTTCCCTAATTGCTCCTTCAGCAGCGGACTCCCCGTTCTCCATGTAACCAGCAGGAAGTGTCCTACATAATGGCCAAGTAGAGAACAAATGTCCAATAACAATGTTAAATGCAGAAATACATAGAATTCGCAGTGTTATGAAGAAACTAAAAGCATGTTTGGAAAGTATTTAGAAACGATTTAAATTATAAATAGAAAGAAATCTGAGGTTAATAAGAGGATAGTACTTATCAGTCCCTCAAAATGTGTGGATATTAATTGGCTTAAGTATTTATAAACATGATCCAAACATAGTCTAAATTTGTTACTATGGATCGATAGCATGAAAAGTTATCCCTTTCCAGGTGAAATTGGATCAGGCAAATGCATACCAAAGGCCAAATGATGGATGAATCTTTCGCTTGCACAGTAGTATCTTGTTTTCATGCTCGATGAGGCAACCCACAACCTGTTCACCAACATTGTAACAACAACTAGAATCATCAATGTCAAGTTAAACAGCTCTGCTCTTTAATCATGAAGCTAATATGAATAAAGGACAGTACTATAACCTGTAATCCGAAGAAAACAGTACTTTTTTATGTTTTTGAACAAATATAGTATACTTGACCTAATTATTTCCGTTCCAACTAAAAATTAACAAAGCATTTCAGTAATCTGTTAAAATCAGATTAAGAATTTCATTATCTTACTCAAATGATTCTTTGAAGTTTAAGTTCCAGATATTATGAATGAGTTAAAATTTATTTTCTTTGTATTTATCTAAAATTAAATCATGAAACTGCTATCATGCCAGTAGGATGCATTTTAGAAATTTGGAAATCTACTAGAAACAATTGTAGGATAACATTTTAGTCACGTTATATTTAACTTCTGGATATTATTCAAATGGATCTTTGAATATAGACTAGTTCGGGTCTCTTTTTTTCCTCACAGTTTTTTAATGCTGCATAATTTATGTCCACTTGACCACATAAAATTATAAACCAGATAAATTCATCTAAATCAGCCACTACAAATTAACACTAGTTGGGTCACAGTTCTTCCAAAAAGCAGATAAAGAAGAGAACAAATGTTCATTATTTCTGGTGACCCGTCTGCAACTAACTTCTTTGGTATGCTATTTCTTGTACTCCAGGCGTTCCTTGGCCATGGAATCACCATATGAATGCAAAGCAATTTTACAAAAGTTGAAAATTTATGGACTTAGCAACTATGGTAACACAATGTGACAAACAAATTGACTCATAACAATATGCATGTATTCTCCAATAGAATTTCAACCACAATTTAAGTAGAAGCGCGAGGTCTAGAAACTGCCTTTTCATAGTTGTAAAAGTAGTATTTTTTATTTTTTGTTGGAATCCTTTTTATCATTAGGAAATCATACCATTTTCGGGTTCTCATAAGTAATTTTCCCACACGATGTACAAATAGCCCTCATCTTCTCCTCCCCATCAGGTATCTCATGCTTTGTTCGGCCACCACACGACTGGCAAAAATTGATCTTACGAATACTGCCCTGCAGATTTTCAGAAAATAATACGAATTAAAAGGGAAAGGGAAGAGTGTAAATGAATGATATAGGCTGGAAGACAACCCACTCCATACATTGTTTGCCACACAAAGGTTCAGAAATAGCCAAGGAATGCCTTTGTAACAATAGATACTGCAGTCAGCACTGTTTAACATTACACGGTTTTGATTTGTATGATTGTCAATCGATAATAATCTATGTTTCTACTAACGCGCACATTAAAAGACATAACGGCCAGCTCAAAGAAACGTTTATTCACCATGAGTAAGGGATCCAGCCAATTACAAGGCATACAACATGCTTGATATTAAGAAATAAGGTTGGTGAGCAATTATAGAAACAACAGATCCACTCAGTTCATGATGTGAACATCCTTATTTATGTTTTAACCATCTTTTATTTTAGACATAAGAGGGAGGTCATTTGAAATGACTACATCATTCAAAGGTCAAAAACAAGGACTCTCTTAAGCGAAAGCAACTGGAACGTTTTTCAGCTCAAACTTATCTTCATATGTAATGCAGGTGTCTAGTATCTGTTTATACAATCCCACAATAAATATCACACAAATGTGGCCTTCCACCTGAAGGAACACTCTCAAGTTAATGCCGAAACAATAATCTCTATCCATGTTGGAACCTGACTCCATGTTTCTTCCTTCTCCTGCTGGATTCAGTTAGTCGCGGCTGCATTTGTTTGTCAACTATTAATAAGACGTTCCATGGTCCTTGATATTCCTATTAGATTTATCACGTCTAAAGAATATTTTTTGGTTTAAAGATAACAAGCCAATGGAATTGTGATGCAATTTAATGCATTTGACAAATAATCAAGTTTCCGCTGTCACTTGGACTATGATGATCATCGCTGATTATAGATAGCATTATTCATTAGGGCGTATACTCTGTCAATATATCTTTCTGCTAAAGAACCAAGCACTGTTGTTCTCTAAAAGAAGCTGAAGGAGATATCATAAGAGAAGTTCAGGTAATTGACACCGATCATCCTTACTTCTTTGCCTAATAAGTTGTTTTGAAGGATAATTCTCCATTCACTGCTATGAACTTTGGGAAGAGAACGATCATTAGTCAATTTGAACCAATCCAAGATAACATTGAAAGATGTGAGAAAAACCTACAAGTTAGAAAATTCAAGAATTCCTTGCAGCAGATTGATGCAGAAACTAGCTTAAAATTAACACGAAAAAAAAAGGCACTATATTCAACAAACTAAAGAAATTCCTGGAGTATATCTTTTAGGAATTCTTAGAAACAACAGAGAACCAAGAATCTAATCATGCAATATCGAGGAACGATATTACCCGTTTGACTACAAAGCCCACAAACCACAAATTGAAAATTATCCATCCAAAACAGGATTGTATTATTGCAAATCAATAAATCAAACCAAACCCATTAATTAACACAAAGAAAATTACGAAGAAAAAAATTTCTCACAGTTGGTTGAACTGGTGTGGATGTAGAGGAAGAAGATGAAGCACCATAAGGGTTTGAATCGGAATGAATGTGGGACATCCGTGAAGCTATAGAATCGCGACCTTTGCGAACCCGAAAAGCAGAAGAAGATGCTTTTGATCTTAATGACGATAAATTTGATGCTTTTATGGGTTTCCTTGATAAGAAATGGATGTCACAATTTGCTTGCGGTTTCCTCTTCAATCTGTAAGAAATGGAAACGAACCCAGATGAAGATGAACCAAGAAACTGTATAGCTTTCAGCATTATCACTGCCGCCTAAAAATGATTGCGGCATTTTAAAGCTATTTTAACTGTAGACACAGGTTTCCTACTGAAATTTACCTTTTTTTTTTTTATTTTTTTTTTAAGGAGGTGTCCCAACTTACGCCAGACTATATCTTCGTCCCTGAACTTTCGACCCCTCAGCAGCTCAGGGAGGTAAATCTTGGGATGTGCCCAAGTTGACCAGGGTTCGAACAACCTTTATACTCCTGACCCCAAAGGAGCCTCCTCCATGGCTACTGAACTTTACCTTATGTTAACGCGACGAAAAAAAGGTTATCCACTAACTCACTTATTTATTCATTGAATCACGTTTTTTTTAAAATATATTTTTAAATAGTGATTTGACATTATTTTAATCACACATTTTTCAATAAAAATAATATTACACTAAATAAAAAAAATTTATTTTTTAACCACATATTTTTTATTAATACACTATTCAAAAATGCATTCTATGAAAAATAATGTGGCTCAAGTAAGGGCTCAAATGTTTACCCATTCGTCCCTCTGTTTAAATTCTTTGTCAAAACTGACAAAAAACTCCACGTGTGTAAAAGTAAAGTTAATTTGGCACATTTATACCATTAATTTATTCACCTAAATTAAAAAAATAAAAAAACCAAAATTACAAATACAAAATTTCTGTGTTTAAACAAAAGTAAAAACCCCCCAAAACTGAAAGACGGGGGCTAACTATAGATAAAATAACTCAAATACTAAATTCTAACTCCAGTTTAAGCCCTGTTTGACCACGAAAACTCTTTCTTTTCTTTTCTTTTTTCTTTCTTTTTTATTTTTTTTTTGTTCTTTCTTAGATTCTTATTGTCAATCACACATCCATCAAATAAAATATTCTGAATGTAAAAATAATTTTTTTCTTAACCACATATTCTCATAAAAATTACTATTCAAAATATTGTTTTTCCTAAATAATAATTGTTGACCCCAAAAAGTGCGCTAATAGATGCCGGTCTCACCCGCGCTTGCGTGAGTGAATGTCCAACACGCTAAGACACGTAGACGGTCTAAAACGAGCGATTTAAAGGGGCGTGAGAGTAGCCCAACGATGCGGGACGGTGACGTTCCGAATTATACGGGTTGTTCGTAATCCGATTGTACAATAATTACCGACCGGTGCTCGTAAATGTATATGTAAAAGTGTATAAACTCGATTTGTATATTGCAAGTAACTGAGAGAGAGTTGAGTAAATGTAGTCCTTTGTATTAATTCTTGCATTAGCCTTTGATATTACACAATGTGAGTATTTATAGTGATACATATGAAATGGGAGCCCTTGGATGAAGTGGCATGTGGCCTCATCTCCTTAGTTCAAACGTCTGTTCTTAGGTATGGGACTTGACTTGCTAGCTTACGGCGCATTTATTGCTCGCGCAGATCCTTTATACTAGTGACAAGACTTGACCTCTATGCTTGTGACAAACGTTCCATCAGTCATTCGAATAAGATCTCTGAGCAGGCGATCTCTTGAGAGAAGGGATGGTGGAGGAAACTCCTTGTGGTTAGGAGGCTCGAGCATCAGCTTTGGGGCTTCGACCATTTGGCAAATACCTCCACCTGAGGACCTCAGCTAAATTCAACATGTTCCATGCTTTGGGTCATGAGGCTCGGTAGTTGGATTTCGGCAGAGTACGTCGGATCGTGGTGCCTCGGCGGATGGACCTCGGCTCGAACCAGTTCGGATGTAGCCCACCTCGACAATGTGTGCCACCTCGGCAAGAACGCCACATGGATCAGGATGAGTGGGCCATTGGCCCAGGTGGGTATGACAGGTGTGACAACACGCAACAGTAGTCCCCCAAGTCCAAGTATAATCATTAATGTAATGCGAGAACTTTAATGGAGTAGAAGTTGAAAGAATTTTTTAACCCCAAATAATAGTCCCCCAAGTCCAAGTATAGATATTTATATCATGGTTGGGGTTTGAAAAGTGTTCTGCGAGGCTTGATTGCTGAATGGCGAGGAGAAAGCCGAGGTGGTTCAGGGACCGAACCTGCGAGGCTTTGATGCTGAATGGTGAGGAGAGAAGCCGAGGTGGTTGAGGAAACCGAACCTGCGAGGTTTGAATGCTGAATGGCGAGGAGGAAGCTGAGGTGGTTGAGGAAACCGAACCTGCGAGGCTTGAATGCTGAATGGCGAAGAGGAAGTCGAGGTGGTTGAGGAACCAAACATGCAAGGCTTGCCGAGGTCCAATGATTGTGCGTTGGTTGCTGTGCCAATGATTTGATGTTTTGTGCTTGTTTTCGAGGAAAGGTGGCTGAACCGTTACGACTTCCAAGGCGCTGCTGCTGTCAAATTAAAAATGCAATTATGAGGGCAGCTGGCGTTTCTAGAAGCAAACGCGTTGGAGAGGTGCGTGGAAGGCACGCATAAATCTGAGGCGTAGGATTTAAAAACTGTTTGAATTCAACGCCTCAGATTGGATCTGAAATAGAGGGCTCGGATTGACTGACATTTGATCTGACAGCTGGGGTTCGTCTTGGACCTTTATAAAAGGCGAGAAAATCCCAATTTTCAGGATTTTTGAACACTTTGCACTCTGAAACTCTCTCAAATCTCCAATTTTCCGGCGTCGAGGTTGTTTGTGATATTAAATTTCGATATGTCTCCGTTTGTGTCAAACTCGTTTAGGTATTGTTTGCATAAAAAACCCTTGTTACTGTCTTTGTACTGACAAAATGGAGTCCACTTCGGGTAGAGAGCTTGTTACAGTGGCATCTTTAGACTATGGGGTCAGTCATGGGGGGATGTCCGAGGTGGATAGGTATGCCATGGTCAAGGAGGATGTAGATTATACCCAGGAGTGAGGGGCTTCTAGAGTGCCCTCGAATATGACGGGGAAGAGGTTGGGGGAACTTAGGGAGAGGTACAGTGTACCCCATAACATAGAAATGTTAGTGCCCGAGCCGAACGAGCGGGCCTGCTATCCGAGGCCTGGCTGCTTGGCCGTGAGTGAATACCTGTTCAAGGCAGGTATGCGTCTTCCTCTGTACCCTTTCTTTAGGGTGGTGCTTAGGAAATTCATGCTGTCGCCGACCCAGGTTCTACCGAACAGGTGGAGCCAGCTGGTCGACTCGTACTTCCTGTGGAAGGAAGTGTCACTTGGGGAGGACATGCCTCTTCATGTGCTCATGACCCTGTTCCAGCCCCGGGTAATTGGGAAGGAGTCAAGGGGGTGGTACTACCTCACGCCTTGGGGGGCTCACGCACCCTTGTGGTGGGACTTCCTTCCTCTATCAAGGGGTGGAAGGAGTCTTGGTTCTGGGTGCGAGGTAAATGGCAGGCAATGGAGGGTGACAAAGCCCTGTCATGCACAGTGCCGACCCAGTACTACGAAGCTCGTGAGTCTCCCGACCTCTGCTTGTCTTTTGAAGTCAGAATATGAATTTGTCTAACTGTTGGAGGTTCCTTTGCAGATAGTAGTACGAGGTTCGAGCTCAGCAGGGAGGAATTCAAGGTGATAGAGGACATTTACAAGAGGCCTCTGAAGCTTCAGCACTTCGATCACCTGATTGATAGAAGCAGATACTTTTTGGACTTCGAGCTGATGGCATCCAGAGGTATGAGGCCCCCAACACTTATTGTTATCCTTATTGTTTCTTATGCTGATGCTGATCTGACATATTGTGCAAACAAATTCAAGAAGAGGGAGTACCCAGCTCCGGACATGGCCTCTGTCTTGAAGGTCACTTCTACTGCGAAGGCGAGGCCCCTGAAGCCTGGGTCCAGTGGGGCAAAGGAAGTCCGAGGCAGGGTTGAGCGCCTGTCCAAGGACTGCACTCCCAGGGCCTCGGAGGAGGCAACTACTCAGAGGCCAGAGAAGCCTAAGGAGCCTCGGGGCAAGGAGAAAGTCTCTGAGGAGACTAAGAAGAGGAAGCTGGTGCACATCTCCAGCTCACCTTGCAAGTTTGGGACCTCAGTGTCCCATAGGGCCGAACAGACTGGAGAGCCGAAGCTTCTTGCTGCAACCTCTAAAGCCATCAAAATGGAGATGGTAAGAGAGGTCGAGGCCGAAGAGGCTAGAGTTGAGGCTGTAAGGCGAGCTGCAGAAGCCACCGAAGAGGAGGTAGCAAAGGAGAAGCCGGTTCGGGAGAAGGGGAAGTCTCCAAACTTCCCAGCTGGGAGGGAGGAGGAGCTGGCCCCAGCCTTAGTAAGGAGACTAAGAAGAGGAAGCTGGTGCACATCTCCAGCTCACCTTGCAAGTTTGGGACCTCAGTGTCCCATAGGGCCGAACAGACTGGAGAGCCAAAGCTTCTTGCTGCAACCTCTAAAGCCATCAAAATGGAGATGGTAAGAGAGGTCGAGGCCGAAGAGGCTAGAGTTGAGGCTGTAAGGCGAGCTGCAGAAGCCACCGAAGAGGAGGCAGCAAAGGAGAAGCCGGTTCGGGAGAAGGGGAAGTCTCCAAACTTCCCAGCTGGGAGGGAGGAGGAGCTGGCCCCAGCCTTAGTGGAGGCTCTCCCTGGGGAGGCCTTGAGCGAATTCTAGACAAGGACCCACGCCTCGGAGGGAAAGGCTGCCTCCCTTGCAGAGGAGGTTAAAGCTACTAAGGCCGAGGCCGAAGAAGCCAAAGCCCAGAGGGTTGAAGAGCCGGCGAAGCTTGAGTCTGCTTTGGCCCAAATTGAGGCCCTAAAGAAGGAAGTATATGAGTCACAGTGCGAGGTGGCCTCCTTGACAAAGAAGGTGGAGGTCTCCAATGAGCACCAAAAGGTGACTGCTGAGGCTCTTGAGAAGGCGAATCTCTCCTTGGCCGGTGCTCGAGATGTCTATCAGTTTCTCAAAGGCCAAGCGAAGTGGTACATGAACGACGCCTCGGTTGCCAGAAAGGAGGCCCGAACTGCAAGGGAAGAGGCGGTGAAGGAATACATCGCCAATTTCCACACTACAGAGGAGTACAAAAGCTTCAGCTCGTACTGGAGGAACTTCGCCTATGCCGAAGTGCTAGAGAGGGCAGAGGAGCTGTATCCCAATTTGGACCTGGCTCAACTTAGGTCCGA